GGTTAGATAGGCTGCCCGCATTGCGTGCGGTCACTGCCCTGATACAGCTATTCAAGTAGTGCTTTTTCTTCCTGAACGGGATGTGGAGCGAGAAATCTACACCATCAGCTGTTCAGGTTTAGCTGTTTTAAATGAAAGGTTACATAGCGATTCCTGAAGAGCAGTTAATCCTGTGTTGTCAGAGACCTGGGAAAGGTATTGCATGGGAAACGGTTAATGCGGTGTCAGGGGCAGATGTGAGTTTATGGGCAGCTCTTCCCCGATGGGTGCCACTAGTAAGGCACTCCTGCAATCATAGTTCTGAGGGAGTGCTTGCTTTATTTATGTGAAACTACTGGAGTGTCTCTAGGGACACTAGTTTGACTGAATTATCCCGGATATCTTCTGGTTTCGTTGTCGGGAGTTACCGTTTCTTTTGACAGGCCATATTTTTGGAGATGCGCATATTCGGCAGCAGCATCAGTCGTACGATCAGAACATGCCTTCCTTCAGCAGACTCACCAAGAAGGCATTTCCAGCAGTTATATGCAGTCATGAGGCGGTATCGAGTCAAGGTACATTAAATTTATTTAATTTCCTTACCAATTTTTTCACCCAGGACTTACATAATTGAATATGGTTACTTAATTGTGCACTTTTTCTTTTGTCAGTGTCTCAGGATATTACTAGCTACATGATGCACCTGCTACATTCTTTGGTGGCCTTCGTGCAACTCTAAAATATTCTGGGTATAGGCTGTATCTTGGCAATGTTTCGGAAGCAGTTTGTTAAAACCAGCATAGGCCTCTTTGGACTCTCAGCTTGAGAGAAGCATTGAAAAGTTAGGTGAACTTAACTGCGTTATCTTTAATTGCATATAACATTAAATTATTAAATACCTTTGTAAGAACTGAGGACTTTGATTTTGCTTCTCAGATTAAAAGGTATTCTGATTTTTAGATCATATCTGTTTGCCAAAAGAAGGAATATGGATCTACTCGAAGTATTGTCCGTAGACTTGGGACAGTTCTTTCCATAGAGCCCTACCCAAGACCTTATTTTCGAGTAAGCAATTTATTTCATACTATTTAAATTTTCTGGTTTCTTAACTGACAGCTTTCCTGTTCTTTTCAGCTCATGTAACTGTGTGTTGCATCCCTTATGCTCACTATTTGCAATTTGCTTACATCACTGTTTAACAATTCCTTTTGCTGAGACAGAATTTTCAGTATGTGCTGGGTCTGGTTTCTCTTCATACATTTTTTGTTTGTTTGTTTTCAGCTTGTTCAAGACCCAGGTCTGTTGGGTTATGATGAACAAAGCATAGCTCCACCTCCTGTAGCTCCATCACTTGCTGATGTCCTGTGGGTGGCAGATGATGAAGGACAGGCATTTACTAGACTTAGGTAAGTAAAAGTCTAGAAAGGAGTAATAGGAGTAATTTATGTCTCCTCTTCTTTGGGGTTTGTGTTGGTGTTTTGGTTGGCTAGTTTTTAACTAGCCCTTCCAGCATTCCAGCTAAAACCCCAGAATTTTGGGTTTTTCTGGGGGCACTTCCTGCTTACCTGGAAATTCTTACCATGTAGAGTATTCTTATCTGAAAGATTTCTTAAATTGAGTCCCCTCTTGTATCTTCCTAACAGCATATCTAGGGCATTACTGGTATTTTATGTATACTCACTGTATTTATATACTCACAAAGTATTTTGAGAGTGACAGAGAGAGTTTAAGGGAAATTTGGATATTGCAACATACCAGAAGATTATTCCTATTTTTATCCTTTTAGTTTACAATCATCTGGATAAACTTTGGGGGTGGGGGGAGGAGAAGAAAAAAAATAACATGTCTCCTTTTGACTTTGATTGCTACAGTGGTATGTATGATGGTTGCTTTGCTGGAAAGAAAAACATGATTTCTTGATTTAAAAAATTTACCTTGAATATAGTTTATATAATCCTTTCTAGATTTTACAGAGTGCTACAGGAGAATAATTTTACAGTTATAAAATATTACTAGTACCGTGAAATGACAAATTACCCAGGAATTTGCAGACAAAAATAGTATACAAGTCTTGCCTTCACCCCCCACTAGAGAAGAAACAAAATGTTGTCTTACTGTTCCTCTGAAGGATCTATTCAAAATCAGAGGATGAGTCATAGAGCCAGAAATAAGATTAAAATTTGGACTCTTGTATTATCTTGTGCTACATTTGTACTGGACAATACAATTTGAGTTCATATTAGCATGTGTTTGTGATCTTTGTGCTGTTTGCAGGTAATGAAACTGCAAGAAACTGATTAATTCAAATTACACCCTTTTTATTAGAGAAGTATTGATAAAGTTACATTTCATATTGTGATCCTGAGATGTTACTGTTGAATTACTAAAACTTTTTTGCAACAGCTGTAGCATAATGGAAGAGTAGGAATATTCTTGAAAGGAACTGTGGCCTGTTATGTCTTGCTTGTGATGATTTTTAACTGGTCTGATTTACAGATCCATGAAAGTTCATTCTTTGGTTGTTTCCATTCCTTCTTCCTCCTCCTTTCCTAGCTCTGTGGGGTGTTTTTTGAGAACAAGTACTCCAATTGATGCCTTACCCTTCTGAGCCAATGCGAATAGCCAAGGGGTTTGGGCAAATCAGAAAGTAATGCTGCGGGTCCGATTTAAACTAAAAGAATGACTAATATAAGGGAAAAGGTCTAGTTTGGTTTCAATCAAAACGTAATGCATTTTAAATAAATAAATCTAATTTCTTTCTTTGTTTCATAATAAAATTCTGACAGTTTTTGCTTACACTCATTCTATATTTTAAAGTTATCTTTGAAGTTATTTCTGCAGGCACAGACTCGAAACAGTTTTTAAAATTAAAACCTGAGACTTGTAGCACTGTTTTCTAATGCAGTCTGTGTTCATATGTAGCTTAGAGAAGATGAGGTTCTTATTCTGTGTGTATTGAAATTCATTCTTCTCCAATATCTTTCTGAAGGGTTGCAACCTCTGTGCTGCTTGCAGTGTTCATATTGCACAGTTTGATAAATGACTAAAATTTGTGAAGCCTAATTAAAAGATCATTATTACTTGACTTTTCTGCCTTTTATACCTACTGTTTCAGGTAGGGATGAGGGAGAGACACCTTTATGGTGTCAAATAGTTATGAAATAATAACAGCTCAGTCCTACAGTATGTCTTTATGATGCATAATCTGTTGCTGGTATCTGACTTTTTTATGATGACTTTCCAAGGATCTGCTTTGTACTTGAGCAAAGAAAGACTTTCAAATATTTTCAAGGTTATGAGTAGTTAAAAGTGTAAAGTTTTCTTACACAGTTTGCAAACTTACAGCTTGCTGAATGATAACTTGCTCAAACAGACAGTGAGTAAGTTTTGAAATTCCCAGTGTTGGCTGAGCCTTTTGAAACTGTCTCTTTTGTTGCTTTCTAGGACTGAGTTGTGGAGGGGAAAAAAAGGCAGTACTGGTCATCATGACCAGTGTCCATCTGTAGATTCAATACAAAATGGTACACAAAAAGGTGATCTGCTTGATCAAGCAGCACTTCAGAAAATTTCTGCACTCGAAAAGGAGCTAACCTTTCTTCGTGCTCAGATTGCTGCGATTGTTTCCACACAGACGTTGGGAAGTATCCCATCACGTAAGTAAGCCCTTCTGGTTTGAAGCAAACTAGTTTTCCTTTTATTGCCTGTTCACAGTTTGCCGTGTCTTGATATTGGAGAACATTTCTAATTCTAACTGAAGAACTTAATTCCAGTTTCTAACTTCTGACTAAATTTAGTTACACCAACTAAGTTTACAGAATACTGTATTTTATTTTACTTTTAGTATTTGGTGCTGCCCCTACTCCCTTCTGTTTTGTAGCATCTTTACCAGTTTTCAATGCAGTTGATTTTAAGTTCTCCTTATACTCACTTCCATGTGTGTCAGTTACAACACTATTCATAGGCTTCCAATTGCTGTTTTAAAAAGTTACAGACTCTTAATTATCCCTTTTGGGTTTTGTACTGTTTCTGACAAGTTGTTAGAATAATGGATAGAAAAAGTATTCCAAGTCAGCTGAGTTCAGGCTTAAAACAAAACAAATGCTGCAAATAGATGTGTCACTAGAGTATCAAAGTTGGTCTCCAATATGAGCTGTCTATTTTGTGACCTTCCCCCCCCCCCATTAGAAGTTTTGAGGTCTTGATTTGTCTTACTTGCACACTAACCCCACTGTGGTTGTTGAAATACTTGGGCTGGTGTGAGGTAGTTACTTTTGATTGATCACCTCTATGATTCAGTTAGCTGTTCTGCTGGCAATTCTTCTGTCTCTTCTCCATTGCACTCAGTACTGTAGTCTATTTTTCACGTCTTGTGGTTCTCTTTGCAAAAGCTTTATGTGGTTGTTGTAGCCTTTGGACTGATGAAAATGAACTGTATGTAGTAGCAGGCTGCTTTGCTGATTTATCTGGTGCTTAGATTGAAAACACAAATAGAGAAAATCAGAGCAGCACAAGACAGCTCAGATTCATTATTACATGCATTCTGAATCTTTGGCTTTGAAATAAAAAATGTTCTTTGTTTTTTAAACATAATTCTTCTGTGATACCATGTGTGAGGTGTGTAAGAAAGCACTGTAAGAGGACTGTCTGGTCTTGACTTCAAACTGAGTCATCCCAGGTGCTGCTTAATTTTGTCAGTTGTGAGGGTATACTGACTGAAAATCCCTATTTTTCTTTTATAACTGCATCCAGAAGCCTTTAAAGCATCCAGCACTCCAGATGGATTTTACCCAGTGCCAGCCATGACTTCTACGCCACTGTCCGTCTCTCACAATCACTTTGTAATTCCCTCGCCTCCTCCGCTTCCTTCTGGTGTACCATCTGGTGTTGATGCTAGTAATTCGGCAGTTGAACTTATAAAACAACGTTGTGCTGCAAGAAACCGTGGTTCAACTGCAGCTGAGAGTGCTGATCACCAGAGGATAAAGAACGTTCCTAGTATGATGGATGTTTTGAAAGACCTAAACAAAGTTCAGTTGAGGGCGACTGAGAGGTAGGTTGAACTGAACGTGTATCTTGGTAAGCTGACTATGCCAGCATCACAGCGCTTAAATAGCACCAGAGAACACCAGTGTGAAACATTTAATGAGCAGCTACTGCTGGCAAACTTATGTTGGCAACTTCTAAGTTCGCAGCTTGGGATGTAAGATACTTGTGACACGGCTTTTAGATGCATTTAAAACATGCTGACTGTCACGGTGTTTAGAACTAGTCTGCTGCTTTAGTATAATCTCGGGTTGGTGTGGGGAGGTGGGTGTGTTGCTCTATCTGGAGATCACTTACAAAGTCATGCACACAGTCACAGGAAATTGATCTGAACAAATAAACTTTTTCGATTCACTTGTGAAAGGACAGATCCCTGGGGGAGCACTGGAAAACTACTGTTAGCATACCCAAAGTATCCTGTTACAGAAAATACATGCTGTATCTTTTATTGAAAATATTTTGTAAATTTGTATTTCAGTAGTGCAGTTGGACTATAAATATTTTCAATGGTCTACGGTTGACATGTTGCAAAAATGCATTACTAAAGACTGCGATACCTCTTCATGTCAGTATGCTAGGTGTTATAGAAGTTGTGAAATGTCTTTTCTGAACTTCTTGAGTTGAAAAATTATGTAAGAACAACTGAGTCTGTATGAACATTTGGAGCTCTTCATGTGGGAAGAACATAATTGATCAAAGCTTGATGCATTCTTATTTCACCATTTTCTTAACTGTGAGCTTTATCCTTGAAAATAACTACCACAAGTCTTGGGGAAGTTATCTATATGCCACTTTAAAACATATCTTTACACTTTTGATATTTTCACAGTAAATAAATCAAATATAAAGTGCACTTCACTAAACTGGTGTGTTTGTTTATATGTTTTCTTCCATATAATTCCATGTATGGTGAGTGAAGAAAGTGAAATGTTAAGGTTGACAGTTTTAACAACTGTCATGTTGAGCAGATGCATAATTAATTGGAGGTGGTAGGTATGCCTCCAAAGTGCTTTCTGGATTTAGGCACCTACCTGTATTCTGAAGGTAGAACATAACTGTATGATGTATTTATATTGTTGGAGGGAATAATGGTAATCAAAATTGCTACGATCTTTCAGGCAGCACTCTTGACAGTAGTTCAGTTTGTGCACTGCAGAGGGAAGACCTCTGTTCTCAGAAGTTGAGAGCCTGAAGATCCCAGTTTCTACCACCCAAGTACCAGCTCACGTGCTGGGCAAGTCCTCTAACAGCTTGATTTTTTTATAGCAAGGGTAAACTCAATCCTTTTTCAGGTTTCATGTTAAACGACATCTACTGTAACTGCCAGACTTCGAACGCGGTGCTGTCAGTGTGCATTGATAGGTACAAGTCATTGGCCTGGAGACAGCACTTTACTAGCAGATGTCTGAATACCTCCAATTGTTTTTCAAATACCTCAGTGGTTAGGAAGGTTTTCTATGATTTTTTTTTTTTTTTCTTGGCCTAATCGCTAACTTCCACATTGATGCTAGGTTTTGGGGTGTGGGTGCTGTTTTGATCTTGTGTCTCTTTGCTATGTTTTGATTTTGAATTTGATATGAACAATTTCTAAATTAAAATGTAAACTCTACTTTTTAATTTTTACCTATGCAGTTTTAATATTTGGATGCTCAGGTGCTCACTTGGAGGAAAAAACTGGCTTTGAAGCCTTTGTGCCAAATCTAACAATGATTTTTCTTTTTATAATGAAACTTGACTTAAGTGTGGTTTATAAATGGGGCTTTATGGTCACCTGGCTACATATTTGACTTAAAACATTTTGTTTTCTTTAAATGTAATTGTTCTGAGGAATTTTGTAAGTTTGTTCTTTCTTGTAAGACCATGGAAAGGCATACTATTCTGAACTTTAATGATGTTTAAATCAAAATTGTGTTCACAATGGTTATGGTATATGTTAGTGGGAGATTCCTATTAACATACCATAATATAACTTACAAATGAGACCTGCTGTGGAAACTGCACGTTTTGCCTTTTTCCTTACTATTTATTTGCAATACTTAAATATTTTGTTTTGATTCACTGCCATTTTTTCCCTTTTGGAACAGCATCAAGTTGTATTTTCAAGCTAAGAATCTGGCTGACAAGTTGTTGGGTGTACTTTTATTAGTCCTGTTTGGTGAATTGCTGCGAAGTAACATTAGCAGCATTATTTTTGTAATCAGCGGTTTATAGGATAGGGTGTGTACGGAAGTTGTATCTCGAGATTTTTTTGATCGCTCAGCATAGGATTAGGGGCAGGAGACAATTTTCTTTCTTTCTTTCTTTCTTTCTTTCTTTCAGGTCACCTGGAGGTACTCCTCTTTCTAGACCCAAAAGGAGACGAAGTTCAGATTGGGATCCAGTTGATCTGCTAACTCGTGCACTAAAGCAGAAATTTGCACATAAAGATGATGATGATGATGATTCCCTGGACAAAGAAAATCGGTCTTTTGACAGCTCCCCACTTTCTAGTCCAGAGATCCCACTGGTATGTTTTTATACAAGAATGTATTTATAAATTCTTGAAGTGACTGCTGGTTTTGTGGATAGTTGCAGGGTTTTCACGAGTCTACAACTTCACTACAATGTTCTTAAGCCATCAGCCTAGGTAGTTGCTTTTTTTTTCAGATGTAATCAAGGCAGAGAATCCCAAAGATTGATTATTTTGGCTGGATTTAGACCGGTAAATATACATGTAGATGTGCCAAGAGGAAAAATTTAGAAGACGGACTTCATGTTGATTGAACTGTGGACACTTGCTTGATGGTAACTGGCAGGTACCCATGCATAGAAACTGTGTGTCCAGTTAGTAATGCTAACCACTTATTGACTGATTTTACAAATGAAGATGCTAGGAAGATACAGAGAGGACTAACACATGCTGTGTTCAAAAATGAAAATTAAAGCATTGCCTGTAATATTTTTCTTTGAAGTAGCATCATTTCCACACAGTTTGCATCTTTATACAGAAGGAGATAATGATTCCGAATGCTATTGCAAAGCCCATGCAAAATTCAGGTTTTGCTTATGAACAGGAAGAGTGTGGTAGATGGAGCCATTGGATGAAGGTGATTCTGAGCACAGGTTTCTGTAGAGCAGCCTGTGCAAGCTACTTCAACTGACACAGTCCAGTACTGTTGGTTATTTGCTAGAGACATCCACAAACCTCAGAACTGCTTAGATGTGGCAGTAATTTAAACTATCTCTCTGCTCACTGCTCAGCAATTCTATCTTTTTATCTTAAAAGTGAAGTAAAGATTTGGGCTGTGGCATTTGTAAGCCTAATGGAAGGAAATAATAATGCAAAAAGGTATCATGAAAATCCAGACATTCTTTGAAGGCTGCCGCTTATATGCGTGGCTACCTGCTTGGCTGAGAACTTAAAGGAAAACTAAGGTGTGTGTTTCTCTTTCTAGCTACAATGGTTTTATTTTATTTTACATTTCAGCTGCCACAAGGATTTCACAAGCAAAATGTAGCATTCATTTTACAGACTGTAGTGAGTGAACAGCTCTGGTATAGTCTTCTTATCCCTGTTGTGTCCCCGCAGGTTAAAATTAGAAACTTCTTAAAAATAGCAAGGCTTGTAGTTTGGATGCTGCAGACCGTTTCATAGTTGACATACCTGATTCTAGATACAAAGATCAAAGTTCAATCCTGAAACAGTTTGTTTATGGAATAGCTTTTATTCCAGGATCTAACAGAGCTGAATTATGAAGTCCTGGAAGAAAGACTGCTTAAAGCCAGCATATTCAGGAGTAGATACAGAAAGATGAGCTTTTTCTGGTTCAGGCAAAATAACCTCATGAGTTCATATTCAAGCCTCTAATTATTTACCCTTGAGCATTTTGAAGAATAAAAGTACTTAAAGCAATTGCATGGGCTTACTGTTTTATTTTTCCTATGTCAAGAGAAGTGCAACTACTCCTCCAAAATGTCTGCTGTAAACATCATCTCCTTCAGATGTCTTGGGTATAATTTTGCTTAACTCCATCCCTGCTCCCCAGGTTGGACGTTGCAGTCTGAAGCCAAATGCAAAATCTAGCCTTGTAAGAACTGATGAAGTTAAACAGGTACCAACGTGGCAAGTGGGAGCTCATATTTAATTGATGGAGACTTCTGAGGAAACTTCATAGTATGTATAAGTGGCAGTTCTACTTTAAAACTGCTGTAAGGTGCTGTAATGTGTTCTAGAACATCTCTCCTATGCTACTGAAGTTCAGGTGTTGTAGGGTTTGTTAAATTGTCTCTTCCTTCTTCATCACATTCATGAGCAGCCAAACTTGTGAATGTGATGCTTATATGAGAAGCACAGAACCAAAAGAACGCTTTTATTGCTATGGAGCAGTGTGTTTGAAACCTGGGAAATGTGGGAAGGAAGTGTGTGTGAAAGAAAAGTAATCATTGGTGTGGCAGCTGAGGTGTGCTCTGTTTACACTCTGTAAATAATGAGAAAGTGTAACCTTCTTGTTGATGTGTTATGTAAAACTGACGGTATATAATGGTAGCTAATACTGTTTCTTTAGAATTGGTTACCTCACTTTTCTTTGCCGTTTGCTGATGCAGCTCCGTATTTGATGTGCAAACTGTATTCTAATTTATTTGGGGTCAGTGGAACTTCTGTGATTGTGAAACTGTGATGTAAGTAAACTGCGGGCTGTCAAATGCCTGTAATATGGGGGAGTTGTGTTCTGAGAGAAAGACTTGCAGAGAGATCTGCTAGCACATAGTCTAAATTCCATACGTAAATAAACATGAACTCACTCCTTGGCTTCTCCATATCTAGTCTGTTTTATTCACAAAAGTTTATGAAATAAAACTTCCTTTATGTCATAGGTGTGTTTGGTAATGGCATTTTGTGTTGCAGACTAACTTCTTTGTATCTTAAGCACTGACCATATTAGAAAACTTAAATAAATTGTGTAATCTAAAATTAAAATAGAGCTTATGATTTTCCTGTCGGAGTACTTGGAGTCCTTTATTTACAAATTTATTACAATCCACTGCTTACAGTAGCTGCCTTCACTTAGTCCTTTGTCTAATGATCCTGATGTATAAAACCAAAATCCTACCAATTAGGCTTTTGAATGTGTCCCTTATATATCTCTGCTTTTATTTCCGTGCTCACACGAAGTAGGCTGGCAGCTGGATTCTCTCTTACTGCTGAGTCTTATTTGCACAGTTGTAAGAAATTATGGTGCAAATCCCATAATTCTGTTTAATAAATTATCTTTTGACTAAAACTGGAGCTATTTTCTGCTTCTAAAATTGTCTTCTGGATTTTTTTTTCTGAATTTAGTAATTATTGGTATTTATCACATTCTCCCATTATCCTCTCAGTCTTTTAACAGCTTGACCTTCCCTTTCTTTCCACATTCAAAATACACATCTACCACATTCTCTACCTAAACTTGACATCTGCTAAGAATAGCCAGCTTGACCCTGTACTTAGCAACCTTGCCTTCTTCTACCAAGCTCCCCATTCTCCTTTGTCTGCTGCTCTTATCCCTCTCATTCTAGGGCAGCAGGGAGCAACAATGAAGGGAGTCTAGTGCCTGCAGAAGAGGATATGAAGGCAGGTGAGTCCTGGTGAGCGTAAAGCCTATGAATCATCGTTTTGCTCAGTATCTGCAGTGTGAGTGGTGGAACAAGTTATTTCCTGTGTTAAATCAGCATTCGTAGATCCAGGGGATCTTGGGGTTTGTGCCTGTTCTGTTGTGAATGCCAAAAGTGAAGGTGGAATTCTTACTGTGAGAGTTCTTACTGTTTTGGACTCCTTTTGTATGTTTTTTCTGTCCTCGTCAGAGTTCATCGTTTAACTGCAAGTTTGGCTTATAAAGCATTTTGCAGTGGGAATTTTGAATTTGAAAGTGTCTTTTCATTTTGAAAGGGAATTTTCTCAGGAATTTCTTAGTACCTCTTAAAGGATCTAGTGTCAGACTTCAGAAGTGTCTGTAAATTTCAGTGAGCTGTGTGACCCTTCAGGTTGTTGGGTGATACCTCTCATTTTGGTGTCAGTCTGATGTGAATTGTGCAGTAATGTTTATATAGCTGATACGCTTCCTTAAGGAAAAGAGTAAGTCATGGGCCATGTGATTATTTTTTTCTTTTAACTATGTACCACCTACACATGTTATGAGAACAGATTCTTTGTTTTAAGTAGTTCCAGATGTAAATTAGGGTTAGGCTTCGAGCCCTTGTATACCTTGAGAAGTCTGTGGGTGGTATCTGGTAACATCTGACAGTTTTCAATACTAAGATGTTGCAAAACTTAGTGATGTTAAATAATGAAAAGGTTAAACAGACTGGCCTGGTTGACAAGTCCCTTGGGAGGCAGCCCTGAAGGGCAAAGGAGTCCAGGAAGACTGGGCATTCTTCAAGAAGTAAATCTTAAAGGTGCAGGAGCAAGCAAGCCATCCCCATATGCTGAAAGATGAGCTGGTGGGGAAGACCAGCCTGGGTGAATAGAAAGATCTGCCTGGAACTCGGGGAAAAAAATGAGAGTTTATGACCTGTGGAAGAAGGGGCAGGCCCCTCAGGAGGACCACAAGGATGTTGTGAGGTTATGCAGGGAGAAAATTAGAAGGGTCAAAGCCCAGCTAGAACTTAATTTGGCTACTGCTGTAAAAGACAATAAAAAAATGTTTCTATAAATCCATCAGGAACAAAAGGAGGCCTAAGGAGAATCTCCATACTTTACTGGATATGGGGGAGAAACACAGTGACAAAGGATGAGGACAAGGCTGAGGTACTTAATGCCTTGTCTCGGCCTTTAATGCCAAGATCAGTTGTTGTTAGGGTACGCAGCACCCTGAGCTGCAGGACAGGGAGCAGAATGAAGCCCCCATAATCCAAGGGGAAAAGGTCTGAGACTTGCTACACCACTTGGATGCATACAAGTCTATGGGGCTGAATGGGATCCACCCAAGAGTACTGAGGGAGCTGGTGGAAGTGCTCACTGAGCCACTTCCAATCATTTACTTGCAGTCCTGGCTAATCAGGAAGTCCTAGTGAGGGGAAGTTAGCAAATGTGACGCCCCTCTCCAGGAAGGGCTGGAAGGAGGATCTGGGGAAGGCTATGGAGCAGAACATCTACTGTGCATGTACAGGACAACCAGGTGATCAGGCCTGGTCAGCATCTGTTTATGAAAGGCAGCTTCTATCTGATCTTCTGTGACAAGGTGACCCACTTAGTGGATGTTGTCTACCTGGACTTAGTGGAGCTTTTGATAGTTTCTCACAGTGTTTTGATGGAGAAACTGGCTGTGCATGGCTTGGGCAGGTGTACTGTTCACTGGGTAAAAAGCTTGGCTGAAAAGACACACTAAAAATGAAGCATTCCTGAAGTTTTCCAGTGGTCAAAATGGAGTCAGCCCACTGTAATGAGAGAAACAACTGAAAATTTGACATTTGTATTGTCCTCAGGTAATGGCATGATTTCATTTAATAACTTCAGTTTTTTAAAGACATAAGTCCTTAGACTTAAAATTCTAAGTATGAAAATGCAGCTTTTCTTCTGAACAGCATTGTCCTCAATATTGGGATGGATATTTTTTTTTTCCTCAGGCATGTACACTCATCATATTTAACAAATTTGGCATTGAGAATGTACTCCTGTGTAGAAGATTGGTCTTATATATATAGTCTCACTGGCATTTGTGAATATGTTCTCACTTTTTAATACCAGTCACTGACAAATAATTTCTATGTATTATCAGTTTTCAATTAATTATTTTTTTTATCTAATTATTTGTCAAGGAAATGTTTTGCCTGTCCACCTGTAGGCATATGTTAATAAAATAGCTATCGGTTATTAACCCAAATGTCTGTCTTATTTAATTTATATAAATACGTAGCAAATTTAACTTGCAAATAAATTATCTTGGCCTGTGTTTAACAAAACTAGAAAGAAATGACTGAAGATCACTTAATTGTGGATATGAATCCTAATTAATGTACATGGAAGCACCTACAATAGGTATCTGAACTTGCCATCCTAGCAAAATATGAAGATTGTAAAACCTCCTGTGTTGCTAAAGGGATCTTTTTCTTTAAATTCAATGTCATATTTTGTACTAGCAGAATTGAAATAGTAGTTTCATTTGCAATATAGTAACTGTACTCTGCCTTATCTGGCTATAATTTAGCTATTTAGTTGAGAGAGATTTTTGATTATGCTAGACATTAGTTTCCACCGTATTACTTATTTATGAGAATTAGTTCTAATAACTACTTATAAAAACCAAGAGGCTCGTCTTTTGATTATTTCTTCCAATCATCCTGTCAGCAGGATATCTCCTTCTGCAGTGGGAATTTGACTTTTTTTTAATATTGGAAGAAAAACAATGTGATGTTTTTGTTCAGCTGTGTTTCTAGTAATCTTTACATTTTAATTTCTGCTTACCCTTTCCTTCAGGCTATTTGCCTGGAAGGCTGGAAGAGGCTTTAAAAGCAGGTTATTTATGTATGTGAGCAAGGGTGTTGATTCTCATTGGGATAGAAGTATTTATAGCTTTTGTTTCAGGCTAGTTGAGGCATTTAATTTCCATGGGTCAGAGAAAAAGCAGAAGCCTAAATTCCCTTTTAGGTTAAAAGAGAGATAGTACTACAGTGTGCAGGGGTGGAGGTGGCACTGGTCGAGGTAAACCCTTGATCAGCAAATAATGTCTTAGAATAAAATGTTTGCAAATTTTGAAAAAAAACCCCAAAAAACCAAAAAACCCCCAAAATACATAAACGGTTGATACATGCTGCAGATGAACTGCATGTATTTAACCACAAGAGAGCAGTGTTATACCACAGCTGGTTGCAAGTCTGAAATTTGAAAGTCGTTCTGGTTTGTTAGCATTAGGTCTAACAGGAAAATTTTAATCCCGTTACATTTTTATCTTTTTAGTGGTATTTACTAAATTGCAGGGGTACATGCTTCTAACTTACTAGTGTTATGGTGAACTATATTTGATTAGTAAAAAGTCAACACCAGGCTAGTTTATTCTCTTATTCACAAAATAAACCTGCTACTTCATTTTCTAGGAGAGTAGACAGAAGATTTTATGTGGTGAGTTAGAGAAGAGCTTCTTCTGGCAGTAGTCTTTTCCTGAAGAAATATCCTCTCATATCCTACATAAAATGGCC